ATATATATATATATATATATATATATATATATATATAACGAAAAAACGGAAATAAAATTGACTGTTAATGATTAATAAATAGAATGATAGTTAGGGTTATACAAAAACAATATTTTTAGTGAACTTGCGAAGACTAATTAGAGTGGCATTGTATTTGTGGCGAAAGGAAATGACAAAAATGAGTAATATTTCATGTCATTATTTTAATATTATAAGTTGATTAAATTAATTATAGTTGATGTTTTTGTTTTGTTTTTTTTTCTTCATATTATTAATATTATTGCAATTCTAAGTTACAGTACAAGATTATTAGAAATGTTTTTCATTTAAATTTAATTAGCTTTTTGTTCTTTTATTATTTATTTTAAGTGAGTTAATTTGTTTAATCCATCAAGTCGCGTGATGAACTAGGTGAAGTCAAGTGTTTATTTTTGACAAATTGGTAAAATATCAAAAGAATATATTTTGTTTTGATCATGCAAAAACTATAAAGAATAACTTTAATATTAGATTTATATTTAAGGACAAGACTCGCATTTTAAATCATGATTCAAATATTTTGTTATATAGGTGATAAACACATTTTGACAGAGTCATATATCGTGTTTAAAAAGTGCAAACATAATATCAAACACCTTGTAAAAAGAGGAGAGTATCAAGTCAAATATTTTATCTCCATAAATTTAAGTTCAACAATTGACTTTTGACTTTTTGAATATTTGTAAATTTATTTGGTCGTATACAACATTGATCTACTTTAAAAAAAAAAAAAGAGAGAGAGAGAGATTGATTTTGAACATGCGTTGTAAAATAAGAAAATTAAGAAATAATATCATTTTATTGAGTATTTAGGTCTTTGTGTGAATTACCTTGTGTGTAAATGCTTTTGTGTGGGTTAATTGATTGTGGTTCATTTTAAGAATTTGTAAAGGAAGATTTGAGCAGTGAGAGAGAGAGAGACCATATCACATAAAACCCAATTTGAGTGTAAACACATGTAAGGCCATATAAATGAGAAAATCATTCACCCATAAATAGATTAAATTCCAATCGACTTTGAAAAAAAAGAAAATAAGATTTTGAACATGCATCCAAAAATGAAAATTGTCTAAATCAAATATACTCATTATGATCATTTGTTCACATTATAAACCCTATATGATTAAGAATGCAAATACGGATTTTTGGTACACCTAACTAAAAAATAAATAAATATTTCAAAATATATATATTATTTAAAATAATATATGCATGCATTAATTATTTATAAAATAAATAATAATTAGAAATTCTTAAGGTTTGGTTTTTAAAATTTACCGGATTTCCATTTCTTTTCTTCTTGTTAAGAGATGATGCACACTTCAAATAATAAAATGTATTTATAAATTTCTAATTAGAAAAATCAATATTTTTATAGTTGTAATAATATATATATATATATATATATATCTATATCTATATATAT